ACCTATTACAGCAATGGAAGGGTCGCTGATCAGGTGTAAGGTACATTGGAGACAGGTGGGGGTTGGGTGGGGGTTGCCCCACAAAATAGAACCAGACTAGCCCACCCTCCGCCAGGGATAGCTTGTATGTGTGTGTATTATGAATGTTGCCAATACGATGCCCTAAATTGAATATATAACTAATGGACACTTTCATCTGAATTTTTAAATCTTCTGTATTAGGCTCCACATAGTCCTCGTGTTTACAATGACCCTTCTTATTTCTACTGTAGAGTGTATGAGATGCTCCTGTTCGAATGAAGTGCCGAGTAGAGAGGAAACTCGTTATAAGGTGTTTAATGTATCTACAAGAATAAAGTAGATGTTATTATGGACATCAGAGCTCTCTTGTCTGCTTCATAGAAGGATTCCAGAATACCCGCACCTCTGGAACATGAGCACTTCGGGAAACCTTTTTAGCAGAACTCTTATCCTACCAACCACTCCTGACACAGCCCACCCTGGTGGACTAAGGTCCAGTCTCCTGTATGCATTGAGTGCAACCATCTACCGAAACAAAGATCTGCCTGAAGACAAAATGTTCTCCATAAGCTTATTATTGTACTATATGTTCCTATTGTGGCTATGAAAACCTAAACAAAAATACACAGATAGAGAGGGTGGATATTACCAGCGAGGACACATATGTTTACAATTCACAATTATATATTGATGAAACTGATGCCCTACACTAGTTAAAGCCTCTTATTATCAGTAGGGTATAGTAGCAGAAAAAAAAAATATTTTAAAATGTCTACAAACTTAACAAGACAACCTCTAACATCACAACGAAAATCAGAAACATTCTCCATGGTTTTGAACCAAGCCCTCAATGTCCCATGAGAAGCGTAAAGCACGTCTTCTGGGAACAAAGCAATGTTAAGAAGATGAAGCACACATCTCCACCATCCTTCTCCTTAGTTGGGGGTTTCCAATTATCACAACCATGGATCGAGTTGTGGGATATGATATAAAAACAGCCCAAAAGATTGAGTCTCGAATTCCCGCACTCTGAAATGACGTTGCCAGTAAGCCAGTAACAGTCAGAAAGAACGATAAGTCAAGTACCACACAAAGAACCATAATGGCAGCTGCCTGAATGTGGCCAACAAGCTGAGGGGACGAGCTGAACTGAAGAGCGTTGCTCCTGATCCTCCAGACGTGTCTCATGAGGGATCCCACGCTGAGCACAATGCAAGTGAATGTTATAGCAAAAGGCAAACAGCAACCACACATTATGTGAAACACACTATAATAAATATTAATAGTAGGAATGTAACCTGCCCCCCTCGTGTCTTTTGTCCCATTCTCAGGATTGTTTAATTGGAGCGCCCAAACAAAAGGGACATTTATAGCAAGACAAATGGCGGCAGAAATCAGCAGGAGCTGAGTAGTATACCCAGAGATAAGCCGTTTCACCCATCTGAAGAATGAAAAGGTAAAGTCAAACAGTTTGACACAGTAATAGGTTGAGAGAATGGCCAACTGCCAAAATGTAGCCTCAATCAGGAAAAAATCTATAACAAAGAGACAGAAGAAGACCTCTCTGGGCACTACCATATGACTCTCCATATAGAATACTATGGGACTCAGTGTGACAACCCACTGCAGGCTGGTGCTGGTGAATGCCATACTGAGTAGGATCTGATCACACACCTTCAGACCCTTCTTCCTGCACCAGTCCTTTAAATATATACTCATCACAAAGGAGTTGAAGATGGTTCCAATGGTACAAAAAACAGCCGGGAGGAGAGTGACCCACAGAGACCACTTCATGTTGGCTTCTCCTTCTTCTGTGTCTTCTCTGATGAGCAACTCTGTGTGAGCTGAGCAGAATGCAAATGTCCTCAGTATTTGGTGTCATTGTTTTTTCTGCAGGAACATTAACTATGTCAGAAGCTTCTTTGTTACTTAAGAGCCAGGAATCACATGTTTGGTTGGTTTATATTTTTATGTTAAATGCTAAAATAATATATTCAGGAGATTATTACAACTGAACATTATTTATTATGTCATTTTTGGTGTCACCCCTCCAGTGATTCTGGTAAGATTCATGATCAAATGTTCCCCAAAGCCAACTTCGCTCATGAGCTCCTGAGACAAAATATTTTATTCTCCGTTTAAAGGGTGTGACGTGGCTTGTTCCGGATATTTAGGTGAGGTTCATTTATATTAGCTTAGCATCCCTTGTCTCCTGCTCCTGCATGGAACTTGATGGGATCAGAGAGCCTGCAACTCATGGAGCACTGAGAGGAGGAAGCCTGCAGGAGCAAGGGGCGTAAGTTAAACTGTTTTTAATGCTACCCTATGAAAAGCAGCCATGTAACCCCTGCGTTGTCAGGGGAACACACTGCAAGGGTGATTTTATAAGTTACCCCAAGTTCAGCTTTCATTTGGCCTACTCATCTGACCTGATAATATGGGGAAATGTTACTGAAATCTCATGATTTCCCCAAAAATTTCTGGGACATTAAAACCTGCAATTGCACTTATCCCTAGAACCAAAAAAGACTATTGCAACTCCTTCCTCATTGGTCTTCCACTACAAAGGGTCCTCCCCCCTTCTATCATGAATGCAGCTGCCAGACTCATCCACCTGACCAACCGCTCAGTGTCTGCAACCCCCCCTCTGCCAATCCCCGCACTGGCTTCCATCCTCCGCCCCCCCCTCTGTCAATCCCTGCACTGGCTTTCAATCATGGTGACTTATTTTTTTCAATGTTCTGTCCGGTTATTTCAAAGGCAGAAAAAGATAAAGCAAACTAGGACAAAATACACATTTTCCAATGAGATGAAGATCTGCTTTTATTTTAAAATCTCTCTAGACACCAAAATAATATTTGTACAGAGTGCGAGGTTTTAGGGTATGAGTTTTTTATATTTACACTACAAAGTACTCAGAGACAACATGAACAAAACCAAAAAGTATATTTCATATGAACACCATAAAAAAGACTAGGCCCTCAAACACCACGCCCTGCCACATGTGGATGTGGCCTCAGAAAAAAATTATTTGGGATTTACTAGATGCGTCCTAGTTTACACTCTGAAATGTGCTATATACATTCTAAGTTGCACTCTGGGGATGTTCTAGATACGTCCGAGGTCACAATCTGGAATATACTAGATACGTCCTAGGTCACACTCTGGAATATACTAGATACGTCCTAGGTCACACTCTGAAATGTGCTATATACATTTTAAGTTGCACTCTGGGGATGTTCTAGATTGGTCCGAGGTCACAATCTGGAATATACTTTATACGTTCTAGTTTGCAATCTGAAATGTACTAGATACATCCTAAGTCACACTTTGGGATGCACTAGATACTTTTAAAATGTCTATAAACTTAAGACAACCTCTAACATCACAACGAAAATCAGAAACATTCTCCATGGTTTTGAACCAAGCCCTCAACGTCCCAAGAGAAGCGTAAAGCACGTCTTCTGAGAACAAAGCAATGTTAAGAAGATGAAGCACACATTTCCACCATCCTTCTCCTTAGTTGGGGGTTTCCAATTATCACAACCATGGATCGAGTTGTGGGATATGATATAAAAACGGCCCAATGGATTGAGTCTCTAATTTCCCCACTCTGAAATGACGTTGCCAGTACACTTGTAACTGTCCTAAAGAAAGATAAGTCAAGTACCATACAAAGAACCATAATGGCAGCTGCCTGAATGTGGCCACCAAGCTGAGGGGACGAGCTGAACTGAAGAGCGTTGCTCCTGATCCTCCAGACGTGTCTCATGAGGGATCCCACGCTGAGCACAATGCAAGTGAATGTTATAGCAAAAGGAAAACAGCAGCAAGTTATTTTAAACACACTATAATAAATATTAATAGTAGAAATGAAATCTGCCCCCCTCGTGTCTTCTGTCACATTCTCAGGATTTTCTAATTGGAGCGCCCAAACAAAAGGGACATTTATAGCAAGACAAATGGCGGCAGAAATCAGCAGGAGCTGAGTAGTATACCCAGAGATAAGCCGTTTCACCCATCTGAAGAATGAAAAGGTAAAGTCAAACAGTTTGACACAGTAATAGGTTGAGAGAATGGCCAACTGCCAAAATGTAGCCTCAATCAGGAAAAAATCTATAACAAAGAGACAGAAGAAGACCTCTCTGGGCACTACCATATGACTCTCCATATAGAATACTATGGGACTCAGTGTGACAACCCACTGCAGGCTGGTGCTGGTGAATGCCATACTGAGTAGGATCTGATCACACACCTTCAGACCCTTCTTCCTGCACCAGTCCTTTAAATATATTCTCATCACAAAGTAGTTCAAGATGGTTCCAATGGTACAAAAACCAGCCGGCAGGAGAGAGACCCACAGAGACCACTTCATGTTGGCTTCTCCTTCTTCTGTGTCTTCTCTGATGAGCAACTCTGTGTGAGCTGAGCAGAATGCAAATGTCCTCAGTATTTGGTGTCATTGTTTTTTCTGCAGGAACATTAGCAATGTCAGAAGCTTCTTTGTTATTAAAGAGCCAGGAATCACATGTTTGGTTGGTTTACATTTTTATGTTAAATGCTAAATTATATATTCAGGAGATTATTACAACTGAACATTATTCCGAATGAAAATATCCCAAATCATTGTGATTGTTCCACAGATTTCCAGATTGTTCCCAAAGTTCTACAACCAACTTTCTTGGTGCAGCTACAGTCTCTGCAATGTGACATTGTCTGTTAGAGGAAATATGGTTTAATTAGAAGGACGTTGTCACGATCTGGGATGGGGCTCGGAGTCCAGCAGCTGAAGCAGCAGGCAATTGGTGGTATAACAGGCCGGGTTCGGTACACAAGCAGAGGGTAGTAGAGGAGGAGCAGGCAGAAGCGTAGTCAGCGAACAAGCCAAGGTCAGGAGCCAAAGGTATCAGGTATGTAGCAGGAGACGGTGAGAGTAGTCGGTGAATCAGCAGCCAAAGGTCGGTACACGGGAAGCAGTATGAGTAGATAGTAGCACAGAGGGAGCAGGAAGCAAGATAATGTCAGGATCACAATAATCTGGCAAACAGGAAGTGCAGAGGCGTGGCAAGGAGTTCAGAGTTCAGCAGAGATTAGGTATAACTGAGGATTACACAGGAGATCAGGCAAGGAGCTATCCAAGGTTCTAAGGTGGCTCAGCAGGTAGAACCACCGCCAGCTACAGCAGAGGCCCTGGGTTCAGATCCGGTTCCGGACAGACATATCATCATTATTACCCAAATGAGTGGGGGGTGCACCATTAGGGAATTTGGACATGAAAAAAAAGACCTGGGGGTGCTCATAGATCACAGATTTGGCACTAGTAAGCAATGTCAAGCAGCAGCCAGCAAAGCAAACAGGATACTGCCGGGCATTAAAAGAGGAATTGTAGGAAGGGATCAAAGATAAATACTTCCATTTTATAAACCATTGGTTCGGCCCCATCTTGAGTATTCTGTGCAGTTCCTGTCGCTGAATCTCAGGAGGGACTTCAGGCTATTGCCTGCTATATACTGGCAGCGCCGCAGCTGGGACACATCCCGACAATACTGTCGAGATCCACCCCGTTGGCTGTTTGAAAGCTTTGAAAAGGAAAGAGAGACGCTGATTGGTTGCCATTGCCAACTGCTCCAGATTCTGTCTGCTCCAATTTTGATGAATTCTCCCAATGTGTCGGGAAGATATTTGTCTGTGACTTCCACAATATCTTGGATAAGAACCAGAGACAGTTCATCAGGGCCCACAGGGCAAGAGGGGCCCATCAGAAGGATATTAGTGTTAAGGTCATGGCTGTAGAGACTCAATGAATAGATTGGTGCTATAAAAGGTGATGTGTCTCAGTAACCGGAGACAAATGGGAGGATTTTGCTGGAAGTAATAATGTTATGTGTTGTGATGTGGTGGGGACAGAATGTATGAACAATGGTCAGTGCAGGGGCGTCCCGAGCGGTGTCACCCCGCTGAGACATCATCGCGCACACGCGGCAGTACTCTGATACCTGCCGGCGGCCAACTTGGTGATGGACGCTGGCAGAGGGAGGAGGAGACAGCCACCCGGCAGGATAAGGTGTGCCGCCAGGTCCCCTCCTCTCTCCTGATACTGTCGGGCGTTCGGTCCATGACCGGGTGCCCGACTTTTCAGAGGGGCGTCACCCCTCCAATTTTTTCACCCGGGTGCGAGCCGCACCCTCCTTGTGACACCACTGGGTCAGTGTCAATTAGTATTGAGCCAAGTGATTCTGGTAAGATTCATGATCAAATGTTCCCCAAAGACAACTTCGCTCATGAGCTCCTGAGACAAAATATTTTATTCTCCGTTTAAAGGGTGTGACGTGGCTTGTTCCGGATATTTAGGTGAGGTTCATTTATATTAGCTTAGCATCCCTTGTCTCCTGCTCCTGCATGGAACTTGATGGGATCAGAGAGCCTGCAACTCATGGAGCACTGAGAGGAGGAAGCCTGCAGGAGCAAGGGGCGTAAGTTAAACTGTTTTTAATGCTACCCTATGAAAAGCAGCCATGTAACCCCTGCGTTGTCAGGGGAACACACTGCAAGGGTGATTTTATAGTTTACCCCAAGTTCAGCTTTTATTTGGCCTACCAACCGCTCAGTGTCTGCAACCCCTCTCTGTCAATCCCTGCACTGGCTTCCATCCCCCACCCCCCTCTGCTGATCCCTGCACTGGCTTCCATCCCCCACCCCCAAGAATACGGCCACCACAGTAGCTGAGGACTTCCAGCCTGCAGAAGAGGACCTTTGCCACAGTAGAAGAGGACCTCCACTAGAGTAGAAGAGGACTTCCATCACAGTAGCTGAGGACTTCCATCCTTCAAAAGAGGACCTTTGCCACAGCAGAAGAATACCTCCACCACAGTAGCTGAGGACTTCCATCTTGCAGAAGAGGACCTTTGCCACAGTAGAAGAGGACCTCCACTACAGTAGAAGAGGACTTCCAACACAGTAGCTGAGGACTTCCATCCTACAAAAGAGGACCTTTGCCACAGTAGCTGAGGACTTCCATCCTGCAGAAGAGGACCTTTGCCACATTAGAAGAATACCACCACCACAGTAGCTGAGGACTTCCATCCTGCAGAAGAGGACCTTTGCCACAGTAGAAGAATACCTCCACCACAGTAGCTGAGGACTTCCATCTTGCAGAAGAGGACCTTTGCCACAGTAGAAGAGGACCTCCACTACAGTAGAAGAGGACTTCCAACACAGTAGCTGAGGACTTCCATCCTACAAAAGAGGACCTTTGCCACAGTAGCTGAGGACTTCCATCCTGCAGAAGAGGACCTTTGCCACAGTAGAAGATGACCTCCACCACTGTAGAAGAGGACTTCCATCCTGCAGAGGGACAGACATAACCCACCTTAATAGTTCTTAATAGTTAATTGTCTCCTTATCCTTAGACTGCTTGAGGTGGTCCACGTCCACATCTCCTGCTCACATCTTTTCCCTATGGATCTCAGTTTAGCTTCCACATATTCATTTAAGGTGACTTTTTTTTTTTCAATTCAAGTAATTCAATGTTCTGTCCGGTTATTTCAAAGGCAGAAAAAGATAAAGCAAACTAGGACAAAATACACATTTTCCAATGAGATGAAGATCTGCTTTTATTTTAAAATCTCTCTAGACACCAAAATAATATTTGTACAGAGTGCAAGGTTTTAGGGTATGAGTATTTTATGTGCACACTACAAAGTACTCAGAGACAACATGAACAAAACCAAAAAGTATATTTCATATGAACACCATAAAAAAGACTAGGCCCTCAAACACCACGCCCTGCCACATGTGGATGTGGCCTCAGAAAAAATTACTTTGGGATTTACTAGATGCGTCCTAGGTTACACTCTGGAATATACTAGATGCGTCCTAGGTCACACTCTGGAGTATACTAGATGCGTCCTAGGTCACACTCTGGAATATACTAGATGCGTCCTAGGTCACACTCTGGCATGTACTAGATACGTCCTACGTCACACTCTGGGATGCACTGGATGCATCCTAATTTGCACTCTGGGAATACTAAGTAGGTTCTAGGTTGCACTCTGGGTTGTAGATATTCTTGTAGATCTAAACATGTACCAGCTTACAGTTTGTGGGCTTTCACAGAGCGTTATGTATTAAAATGTCATATATAAACATATTTATGGTAGTAGCCTGTTTGTTAACCTTGTTACACCCGGACTCCATTTTTGGTATACATTTTTAAGGACTGCAATAAGTAAAAAAAAAATACAAGCTGAAAATGTGGCATTTGATTCATTTGGTTATTCTTTGCCAGCGTAAATATTCCAGAATTGTTATTGCTGAGCGGATTCATTGTATTAAGTTCCACTCACGTTGGTCTTGGGGTTGGGGGGGGTTGTATTAGTTTCAGGAATCATTCATTTTGTGTGAGATCAGTGCACACTGTAAATGTTATATTTATAACCGGTACAAAAGTTCTAAGGATGCACATTTTTTAAGATGAACACAAGTGGGTTCCAGTCATTTACAGGTCTATTCACGAAAGGGTGAAGAGTTTGGAAAAGGCCGGAGAAGTGAACAATCTAGGACAACATCGCTGAACTGGGAAAATTCTCCAATTCATCTCACTTTCCAGTTCAGTTATGTTGTCCTAGATTGTTCACTTCTCCGGCCGTCTCCAAACTCTTCACCCTTCTGTGAATAGCCCTGATAGTGAATAAATATAATAAATATCAGATCACTCCTCTAGTTTGCCGGCTGCATATACTGAACATTGTATAATTCAAGGAAGGATGTTACTTTCCTTTATCTACAGACTGTTTGGAGTGAAGCCCTTTCTTAGAGAGCTTCACTTATCAAAGATACAAACTTACGGGGCTTTATTTGGTTCCTTTTCAGGCTTCAGACTGTTCTAAAAATTGTTCTGAACCCTTCATATTTATACGTATGAAGAGCTATGAAGAGGAGGAATGAAATACAACCATAAGAAAAATTCAGCTACTTCTCCTTGACACTACCGAGTGGTGAGTCTCTTGTCAAGGGTTAGATTATATGGAAAGACATCTGCAGGAACCTAACTTTGGCTTTCTGAAGAGTAAGGTGAGGGCCTGTAGTGGCCAGAAGCTATAATAAATGACCACAACTATCAACTTCAAAAAATCAGCGTGAATCACCAATCGCCAATTCAGAACTACATTAGATAAGTAAAATGAGACGTTCAGTAACAGGAGCAGAGTCATGATTTTGGCAGCATTGATATGAGCCTTTACATTAGTGTTATTGAGGGTGGGTGAGAGCCGGATTCTACGCACATGACCTACAAGAGAGGTGACCGTGAATCCTAAAGACAACAAAATGAGTAGAAACGGTCCCGTCATAATTAAGGTAAACATATTGATTATG